ATACTTGGTGGCCCTTGCCTCCATGAACCTCTTTGGAGCAGTTGTTACAGTTGGTCCATCCCTTTTTTTTTTTTTTTTTTTTTTTTCCTCAGATGGAGTCTCAGTCTGTCACCCAGGCTGGAATGCAGTGGTGCAATCTTGGCTTACTGCAACCTCCACCCACTAGGCTTAAGTGATTCTCCTCCCTCAGCCTCCCAAGTAGCTGGGATTACAGGTGCCTGCCACCATGCCTGGCTAATTTTTGTATTTTTAGTAGAGATGGGGTTGTACCATATTGGCCAGGTTGGTCTTGAACTCCTGACCTCAGGTGATCTGCCCACCTCGGCCTTCCAAAGTGCTGGGATTGCATGCACGAGTCACCGCACCCAGCCAATCCCTCCTTTTAAAAATTGCTGGGCTCCTTGACTGGGAGGACATCAGCCTCTGGTTTTCTTCTTTCTCCCCTCCTGCTTCCTTCAGTGCTCACCTCCTGCATCTGACCCCTAAACACTGAGATTTTCCAAGCTCTACCCTTGGCCTTTTGCTTTTCTCTTTCTGTGTCTTGTCTCTGCACATCTCATCCACAGTCATGTCTTCAACTGCTTGCTGGAAACAAGTGACCCCCATCCCTGTCTTCAGCTAAGACCTCTCTCTCAAACTCCAAAACCACACTTCCCACTGGATCCTGGACACCCAGGCAACTCAAACCCAACGCTTCCCAAATAAAACTCATCTGCCATCCATGTGTTACCTATAGCAGCAAACGAGACCACCAAGTGCACCACCCGGGAATCTAGGAATCATTCTGGCCTCTTGCTCCCACTTCCCTCACCCCTACCAGTCATGACATACTGTAAAGTCAATCTGGCCGTGCAAGGAGAATCACTTGGAAAACTTACCAAACACAGTTTCCTGGGCCCTATCCATGACTTACTGGATCCAAATCTCCTGGGCTGGGGCCAAAGAATCTGAATTTCTAGAAAGCTCCCCAGGCTGCTGTAATGCCTGACTCAAATCACAGATTAGCCTTAGGGAACCACTGTGGTCTAACCCACTGCCAATATCACTGCTGGTTGCCTAGTTCAGGGCAAAATCCTCCTCCCTGCGCCCCTGGTAATATGCTTGTCTCCTCTCATTCATTCTCCACACTGTGGTGATGGCAACTTTCCAAATGTGCAGTAGGACCATGGCTCATCTCTGCTTAAATCCTTCTATGTGGCCACCTGGGAACACCGCATTCATGACCCTTTGTCCTTAGGAGAGTGCCTTCAGCTCATCTCTTGTCTTACCTCCTACCTTGCTCCCTTCAAGGTATGCACTCCAGTCAGGCCAAAAGACATATGGTTCCTATAAACACATAACCCTGCCCCTGCACGTGTTTACACCTCCTCTCCCTGCATATATTGTTCTTCTGATTGTACTCCCTCAGTCTCACAGCCCCTCTGGATCCACTCCTAAGGTTCGACCCAGGCTGGGCTCAATGCCTGCCACTCAGGCACTGTGAGCCCGTGTGGTGATCACAGAGTTTCTAGGTTATTTCCTCCTCTGTAAACAGTGAACCTTCAAGACAGGACCTGGATATTGAGTGGTCACTATCCTCGGAGGTGCACCCAGTTCCTGGCTCACAGAGGTGGTCAACAAAGGTTAGTGAATGGAAGGGTAAAAGAAGAGAAAGAGGGAAGACGGGGAGGTCAGAGCATTTCAGATGGTTCTGCCATCTGTTTGAAGACCCAGGCCAAGAGCTGGGTCTCTGCCCAGCAGGGCACCTGCTCTGGATCCACAGAAATACCACAATGGTGGTGGCTTTTTTTGTTTGTTTGTTTGTTGGTTTCTTTTTGAGACAGAGTCTCACTCTGTTGCCCAGGCTGGAGTGCAGTGGTGCAATCTCCACTCACTAAAATCTGGGACCCCTGGGTTCAAGTGATCCTCCTCACTCAGCTTCCTGAGTAGCTGGGTCTACAGGGGCGCACCACCATGTTCGACTAATTTTGTATTTTTAGTAGAGATGGGGTTTCACCATGTTGGCCAGGCTGGTCTTGAACTCCTGACCTCAGGTTATCCACCTTCCTTAGCCTCCCTAAGTGCTGGGATTACAGGTGTGAGCCACCGTGCCCAGCCACGATGGTGGTGTTTTTGTGACCCTCTTGGTTCTGGGGTTTCCCCAATAGCCAGGAAGGTGATGGCAGCCTGCCGAGACCGGCTAGGTCGGGGAGACCCTAACCCAGCAGCGCTAGAGGAATTAAAGACAAACACACACAGAAATATAGAGGTGTGAAGTGGGAAATCAGGGGTCTCACAGCCTTCAGAGCTGAGAGCCCCAAACAGAGATTTACCCACATATTTATTAACAGCAAACCAGTCATTAGCATTGTTTCTATAGATACTAAATTAACTAAAAGTATCCCTTATGGGAAACGAAGGGATGGGCCGAATTAAATGAATAGGTTGGGCTAGTTAACTGTAGCAGGAACATGCCCTTAAGACACAGTTAGCTCATGCTAATTGCTTGTGGCTTAAAAATGCCTTTAAACGGTTTTCCGCCCTGGGAGGGCCAGGTGTTCCTTGCCCTCATTCCCATAAACCCACAACCTTCCAGTTTGGGCATTAGGGCCATTATGGACATATCACAGTGCTGCAGAGATTTTATTTATGGCCAGTCTTGGAGCCACTTTGTGGCCGGACTTTAGGGGGCCTGCTCCCAGAAGCAGCCTGCCCTCCCATTTCCATGTGCCACCTGATGAGATTTGGGGCTTCTGAGAAGTCCTGGCCCCTCCTGTCTGCTCTGGTCACCTCTAAATTTCTATTAACAAGGACAGCAGGCTGGTTGCAGTGGCTCATGCCTGTAATCCTAGCACTTTGGGAGGCTGAGGTGGGCAAATTGGTTGAGTTCAGGAGATCGAGACCATCCTGGGCAACATGGCAAACCCCTGTCTCTACTAAAAATACAAAAATTAGCCGGGCACGGTGGTGCACGCCTGTAATCCCAGCTACTTGGGAGGCTGAGGCAGGAAGATTGCTTGAGCCCAGGAGGCGAGGTTATTACAGTGACCCAAGATGGCACCAGGGCACTCCAGCACTGGCAACAGAGCCAGACCCTGTCTTAAAAACAAGGAGAGTGGGTTCACAAAGGACTCCGGGACCACTTCCCACTCTATTTCTGAACTGGCTGTGCCCTCCTCACTCCTGGACCCTGCTCCCACCCTGGTTTTGTGCCTACAGAACAAAACCACTGTCCTGTCCTGGCATCGCCAACCTTTGGCGTGGACACCTTCACCTGGCCCCCCTGGCCCCATTCTCTCTCTGACTCCCTCCCTCACCCTCTTCTTTCCCTCTTCCCTCTTTGTCCACCCAAAGCCTTTGCTGCAAGACCTCTCTGTCGCCTTTGTGCCTCATCTGCGGCCCTCTGACTTTCCTCACAGGCTCTCTGTGGGCTGTAAACTGGGATGCTGCTCCATCCTTGCTGCCCTCCTCCAGCTGCCTGCCCCAGTCTCTCCCCAGCCCTGCCCTTAAGACGGCTGAAGTCTTGTTAGCGAGGAGTGTTGGATGGGGACGGAGGCCTGCATTAGCTGGGTGGCACTCCTGTTTTGCCCCTTCACTGGAGAGACACTCGACCCTCTGTGAAGTGGGTTTGATTCTATGGCAGCTCCATCCTTTGCCTCCCACATCCAGGACCTGCTATTTAATCTGCAGATCCCAGTGCAAAATAAAAATGCAGGTCTCCTTGTTCAAAAAGTATTATGGGGCCAGGCACGGTGGCTCACGCCTGTAATCCCAGCACTTTGGGAGGCCGAGGAGAGCGGATCACGAGGTCAGGAGATCGAGACCATCCTGGCTAACACGGTGAAACCCCGACTCTACTAAAAATACAAAAAATTAGCCGGGTATGGTGGCGGGCACCTGTGGTCCCAGCTACTTGGGAGGCTGAGCCAGGAGAATTGTTTAAACCCAGGAGGCGGAGGTTGCAGTGAGCCGAGATTGTGCCACTGCACTCCAGCCTGCGCAACAGAGCAAGACTCTGTCTCAAAAAAAAAAAAAAAAGTATTCTCATATTCAAGCTGGCAATAACAGAGCATTCCTGCTTTTCCATTTTCCAGTCTAACTACCAGGCCCTTCTAAGTGCACGACTCTGTGTGACTGCACAGACGGCACGTCCAGAATGCCCACCCTGCCCATGCCCCTTTCCAGCTGGTGATGGCCCCTCTCCCCTCTCCTGTCCTCAGCTGCTTTCTTAGACAGCTCCTCGGGGCTTCCTGGCAGGATCCCAGCCCCATTCACCTCCAGAAGTCCAGGGCCCTGTTCAGTAGGCAGCACAGATTCCCCAAGGTCCTGGGGGAATCTTCACCTCAGGCCACCACTCACATCCTTCTCAAATCAATGCACAGTTATCGAGCCCCACCTAGCTAAGCCTTAGGAAGGGAGGACAAGTGGATAAACAATCACTGCCCTCCAGGAGTTCAGTTTATAGCAGAGCTAAGACCTGAAGAAGAGCAGGACCAGACAAGGATCCTGTCGATTCAGAGAAAAATAATCACAGTTTATTAGGAAACTGAATTTCACAAAAGAGGCAGCATAAAGATGGGCTTTGGTGAATGGGCAAGGTTTGATTAACCTGAAGAGGAAAGAGGCATTCAAGGAAGAGGCCATGGCATGGGCAAAAGCTTAGAGATAATAAAATGCATGGCACATTCTAGAATCCTGAGTTGTACAGTTTGGCTGAGGTGTGCAGATGGTAAAATAGTGAGAAAAGGCTGGAAGGAAAATGTACAGAAAAGAGCTACAAGGGTAATGGTGAAGTGTTTGTACTCCCTTAGTGGAAACACCAAGGGGACTTTAGGTTGTGATGTTTAGGTTATTTGGGAGCAAAGGGAGAAGGGCAAAGCCTTCCTCCCCTTGTCCCTCACAGCTTGCGGAAAGAGTGCAAAGGCTCATGATTTTGCAAAACAGGCCGCACCTAGCCCAGATTCTGGAGCTCATTCAGTCCAGGCCTCTGGACCCACAGTTTGTCCTGAGCCCTGACAAAGGTCTGGCCCCCTCCTGCACTCGGAACGCGGAGGACCCGCGGTTCGTGGATTCGCGCAGCACTGCCCAAGCTGGTGTTGATGGGGGTTGGAGTTTCCAGTCACTCACTCCCCATGGGTCCTGTGGGGGCCTGGGGATGCAGGGAGGGTTTCAGAATAGGATCCCAGACTGGGAGGGAAGGGGGACCGTCTGGGCACACCCAGTAGATACGACCAGAGGTGAAGAAAGAGTGGGTCCCATGCCCTGATGGCCCCGCTAGCCACTTTAAGTTTATATTATGGATATATTCAAACATGTTCAAAAGTAGAGAGAAGAGTAGAATGATAACCCAAGTCCACACCGCCCAGCTTTAACAGTTATCCGCTCCAAGCCAATCTTGTTTCAGCTAATCCTTTCCCACCACCCCTTTTAAAGCGGGATGTGAATGTCCTGAGGGAGGTGGAGGCGACCCCAGTTGGAGAGCGGGTGCCCGCACCTCTGGAGGCTGAGGCACAACTGGGCTGGCAGTTGAGCTCATACCGGGTAGGGACCGCCGGGGATAGGGGGCAGGGCTGGAGGGGCGGGGCCAGAAGTCGGGCCGGGTGGGGGGCGCTCTCCTAGTGACTCAAGGCGCGCAGCGCTGGGCGCAAAGCCCCAGTCTCCGCCTCGTACGCTCAGAGTGTGCCTGCTGCGCCGCCGCTGTCCGTACCTGCCGCCGCCGCCACCACCGCCACCATGCCCAACTTCGCTGGCACCTGGAAGATGCGCAGCAGCGAGAATTTCGACGAGCTGCTCAAGGCACTGGGTAAGCTGGTGCAGAGGGCGCGCCCCGACGGGTAGAGGCGGCCCGGAGGTACCCTGGTCCCGGAAGTGCCCCGGTCCTGGGGGGCAGGAGTAGAAGTTGGGGCTCCCAGGCAGGAGGGAGTCCCCGGGGCAATAGATCGCCTTGTCTCCCAGGCGCACCAGATCTCGGAGAAGCTGGTAGAGAGCCCGGAACCATGCGTTCCGGGAACGTTTGCTGAATGTTTGCCGCCCTCCTTGATGGTGCGGACTTTATCGCGTGCTAGATCATAGCGAGGAGAGATTACTGGAGAGCAAGGAGGATCCGGGACTTAAATTTGGAGACTCAAATTTGAGACCAGGCTCTGCCACGAATTCACTGTGCAACTCGAGGAAAGTCACTTACCCTCTCTGTACCTCAGTTTCTCATCTCGAAAACAAGGGCGAGGGCAGGGAAACGAGTGGGTCAATTTTAAGGCCCCTTTCTAAAGTTAGGGTATGAGCAGCGCCCGACCGGTCGCGAGACCGGCGGCGAGGCCCTGTGACCCGAGCTTGTGGTGCACCCTGCGCAGGTGTGAACGCCATGCTGAGGAAAGTGGCCGTGGCGGCTGCGTCCAAGCCGCACGTGGAGATCCGCCAGGACGGGGATCAGTTCTACATCAAGACATCCACCACGGTGCGCACCACTGAGATCAACTTCAAGGTCGGAGAAGGCTTTGAGGAGGAGACGGTGGACGGACGCAAGTGCAGGGTGAGACCCCAGAGCCAGTACAGGCGTCCCCGGGTCCCCACTCCGCGCCCATGGCCCACTGCTGCTGGAGGAACCTATGTCTCCCTTTGCAGCCTGTGGCGCGCCTTCCTTGCAGGGTGTGTGCACTGGCTGTTTGCAGAGGGGGTTTATGCATCCTAGTTGCCCCTGGCTCAAGACAAAGTATTACCTTCATTCCTTCTCAACCCCATCCCTAAGCCGCCTCCCAGGGTGCTAACTGCCGCGCTTAAAGAGCGGGCTCTGGGTTGCGCCGCTTTCCCAGCTGTGGCTTTTGCAGCGGTTTGAGGCGCCAAGCGCGGGCGGCGCGGGAGGAGGAGGTTGCAGGGGACGCCAGGTTCTCTGTCGCAGGTGAAGCGACAGCTCTTGCATTCCTTTCCTGCCGTATCCCCTGCGCCCGCCCGGGTCCCCGGGCCGCCTGGGTACTCTCTGGATCCAGTTTCAGCAGTCCCGATGGCCCCGACACCTCTCCCCACCCACCCTCACCTGGTTCCTTAAAGGAACCGCGGGGGCTTTCCAAAAGCAAGGCAGGTTCTGGCTGGGAAAATGGACTAGTTGCCCTCTCTTAGTCCTCAAAGGCAAGAGTTTTTTTATTTCTCCATACATGGGCCCAGGGATGAACCGGTGGACTGAAGCAACGGGTTGTACATTCCTTTTTTGCATGGGCAAAAATTGCATTTGGTTAACCAGACGGAAAAATAATCACTGGAGCTACCACTTATTTAAAAAGTGACAGAATGTCTCCCTCCCTTTCTCCAATTTTTGTTTTTTTTTAAAGAAAAAAGTCATAACATTCCAGAGAGTGGGAAATTGTGTCTTTCACCTTTCCTGAGCAGTGCCTGGTCTGATCTCAGAATGGGACTCTCTGAGCACTGGGCTTGGAAGGACAAAGAAACAAAGCCCCACGGAAGCAGGCTGATCTAGGAGGCAATCTTTGGCTCCCAGAATTGTCATAGCCTGAAAATGATCTCCACGCTTGGAGCGGTTGGGATCTGAAGCCCAAACTACAGTGCAGAAACAAAGAGCAAGACAGCATAGAGTGAAGGGCTGGGAGTCTAAGAGAGGAGACCTGGCAACAGGCAGGGCTCAGTTTGGGGACATCCAATGGTGGCTACTGCCAGGGAGGGTAATTCTGCTTTAAAAAAAATTAAAGGTTCACACAACAGCCGGGAGAGTGTGGCTTTATGCACCGCCCCCCCCCCCTTGCTTAATGAATGTGTCCCATGTGTTAGTTAAAAACTGATTATGTGCACATTCAGCTCTGGCTCACCCCCCAGCCCAGCTGTACCACACTTTGCTTTGTGCAGACACTGGAGAAAACTTCAGGAAATCCCCCCTTTTGCCTCCCACCTCCAAAAGCATGAAGACCCTTCAGATTGATTTGCTTTTTAAAATTTTTCTAAAGGGACGTAACCAGGAAAGTGGCAGCATTTTAACCCTCAGAGCCAAAGACACCCAGGTTTATCAGCATAGGGGTGCACTACATCTGATGAGGAGTGAACAGAAAGGACGTTCTTAAGGCCGGGCGCGGTGGCTCAAGCCTGTAATCCCAGCACTTTGGGAGGCCGAGATGGGCGGATCACGAGGTCAGGAGATCAAGACCAGCCTAGCTAACACGGTGAAACTCCGTCTCTACCAAAAAATACAAAAAACTAGCCGGGCGAGGTGCAGGTGCCTGTAGTCCCAGCTACTCGGGAGGCTGAGGCAGGAGAATGGCGTAGACCTGGGAGGCGGAGCTTGCAGTGAGCTGAGATCTGGCCACTGCACTCCAGCCTGGGCGACAGAGCAAGACTCCGTCTCAAAAAAAAAAAAAAAAAAAGAAAGGACGTTCTTATCCCAAAATCCGTGCAGGGAATCGTGCTCCTGATAGGCTGATGACAGATGTGGTTTCAAGCTTGGTGTCTTAACTGTTGAAAAATCTTGTGGTTCTGATGTGAAGGTTCTTGCTTTTAAAATCCAAATTATGACCACTTAAGGTCAGGAGTTCGAGACCAGCCTGGTGAAACCCCATCTTTACTAAATATATCAAAAAGCTACTCAGGAGGCTGAGGAAGGAGAATTGCTTGAACCTGGGAGGTGTAGGTTGTAGGGAACCGAGATTGTGCCACTGTGTTCAGCCTGGGCAACAGAGTGAGACTCCATCTCAAAAAAATAAATAAATAAATAAAAATAAGTAAAATCCAATTTGTTTGAAGGAGTAGCTAATTTTTATATAAATGAATCATTTCATGCTCTAAATTTTATTCCTAGAGATGTAAAGCATGCCTAAGGCCTTGCTGCTTCAGTAAGAGATTGTGTGTGTGTGTGTGTGTGTGTGTGTGTTATACAAAGTGTATTTATACCCCATAAAATCTGTGACCAGCACTCTGAATTTGAACTTTCTAAGGCTCAGTGGAGAAGAATCTGTGGCCTGCTGACAGGGACCATGTGTTGATTCTCTGCACAGCAATTATTTTTCAATGCTCATTGTTGCTCCTGCTCCTGCCGCTGAGACTGTAATTAATGTCACTAATGGTTTTCCTGCCCGCAGAGTTTAGCCACTTGGGAGAATGAGAACAAGATCCACTGCACGCAAACTCTTCTTGAAGGGGATGGCCCCAAAACCTACTGGACCCGGGAGCTGGCCAATGATGAGCTTATCCTGGTAGGGCCCCTTGACCCTGAAATAATCCTGAAGTTCTCCCAGATGGTGCCCGAGATGGACCCCACAAATATGTCCTCCTCACTCGGCCTTTCAGAGAAAGGCACCATTTGCCCTGGATTAAAATTAGAGCAGAAAACCCGAGATGACAGTTCAGGTCAGAGGAAATCATTGTTAAATGGTTGGCAGGAAAGAGGAGTGGCTCAGAGGGCAGAATAGGGGCTAGCGACAGGCTGGAGTGCCTGCCACTATCCACACTAATACATCCCAGTGGCGGTGACATGCTTTAAACCAAGCTCCCCTCTCATCAGATTTGGAATGCTTGGGCCCTATGAGGTCCCCACGCTCACATGGCAGAAGGGATTTTTTTTCATTCTCATTTCCCCTTTTGCTGGCTAGGAAAGGTTTCAGTAATTTTCATCACATCAGCACTCAGAGCCTTAGAGAACATTTTTACCTGTGATTTGCAAACTCCAATAGCCTTTGGGAGCCAGGCAATGAATGCTAATTTGGGAAGTGTCTGAATATAACACAGTGTGGAGAGATGAGCCCCTTTAGAACTAAAAAAGGTAGGCTTTTCCTTAAAAGTGTTCAGATCCCAGCACTTTGGGGGGCCAAGGCAGGCAGATCACCTGAGGTTGGGAGTTCGAGACCAACCTGATCAATATGGAGAAACCCCATCCCTACTAAAAATAAAAAATTAGCCGGGCATGGTGGCATATGCCTGTAATCCCAGCTACTCAGGAAGCTGAGGCAGGAGATTCGCTTGAACCCAGGAGGCGGGAGTTGCAGTGAGCCAAGGTCGCGCCATTGCACTCCAGCCTGGCAACAAGAGCGAAACTCCGTCTCAAAAAAAAAGGAAAAATGGTATTCAGATTGGCCGGGCATGGTAGCTCACACCTGTAATCCCAGTACTTTGGGAGGCTGAGGCAGGCAAATCACTTGAGGTCAGGAGTTTGAGACCAGTCGGGCCAACATGGTGAAACCCCATCTCTACTAAAAATACAAAAATTAACCAGGCATGGTGGCATGGGCTTGTAGTCTCAGCTACTCGGAAGGCTGAGACAGGAGAATCGCTTGAACCCAGGAGGCAGACGTTGCAGTGAGCTGAAATGGCACCACTGCCCTCCATCCAGTCTGGGTGACAGAAACTCTGTCTCTAAAAAAAAAAAAAAAAAAATTCAGACGAAAACATTTTAAATACCCGCTCCCAGCCAAACAAAACTTACCTGGTGAGGCCAAATTAGAAACCTCTATAACTTAAGCACACATTTCATCCCCTTTTTTGAGGTAGAGAACAAAGGAAGGCTGAGGACAGAACAATCCCCCATCACTCTCCCTTTGTGTTTCAGAACTGGGCGGGGATTGGTGGCTCACACCTGTAATCCCAGCACTTTGGGAGGCTGAGCCCAGGAGTTTGAGAACAGCCTGGGCAACATAGTGAGACTGCTGCCTCTACAAAAAAAAAAAAAAAAAAAAAAAAAAATTAGCTGAGTGTGGTGGCACATGCTTGTAGTCTCAGCTACTCGAGGCTGAAGTGGGAGGATCACTTGAGCCCAGGAGTTTGAGGCTGCAGTGAACTGTGATCGTGCCACTGCACTCCAGCCTGGGCAACAGAGCTGAGACCCTATCTCAAAAAAAAAAAAAAAAAAAACACAAACTAAGGTTTTTGCAACCACCCTTTTCTTCCAGACTAGAAAAGGGGAAAGCTGTTTTGGGTAATCAGGAAATTATATCCTTTGTTCTTCATTAGGTATTTTGTTAATCTCTGCTCCATCTTAGTGAATGTCACCTTGAAATGTTGTGAACAGGAGACTGCCTGCTGAAGGGCACTAGGAAAGGAATTGCGGTGTGACCTGGGCATGGGCCTTCCCTTCCCAAGTTCTTTCCATGCTATACAATGAGGGGTTAAGCAGAAGTCTGATCCCTGAGGTGCCTCTCAGGCTTGAAATTACATGTTTATTCTGCAAGAAGACCCTAAATTGAGCTGTCTATTACTTGAACTGAGACTGCTTGATCTTTCTTTCTTTCTCCTCTTGTCCTTCCCTGGGATGATTTAACATGCTTTCTCCTTTCACAGAGAAAGGACTGGCTTAATTTGCAACCTGGTTAATATTGTTTCCAGGGAAGGGATACTTGCTGAGTTTGGGGGAGAAATTTGAGGCTGAGACATGGAAATTTAGGAGAAAAGGCATATATGGTTTACTGGTACCAGAGACAGCAAAGGGGGAGATGATTTCAGAGTTTTAGAATGTAGCTGAGGGTTCAGTAGGATCGGTTGGCTCTGAGAAAGAGTGATTTTATTAACCTCTGTAGTATACGAGCAGCTGGCGTCACAGGCCAAATTCTGCTAGATGGACCCCATCACTTTCATATCCTCCCTCCTCCCAACTACAGTTCTATCCCTGCATCCTTTGCTGGAACAGCAAACATATATACAAGCCTCAAAGGGAAAGGGAGTGTTAACTCTTGGCATTTGGGATCTGAAATGTGGGCTTTTGTTTCAAGGGTTATTATCATTAATAAATCTAAAACGCAGAAAGATGCAGTCTCTATATAACAAGAGGCAATTATTCTAGTTAAGTTGAAATATGCTCTCCCAGCGCCAACAGTAAATTGCCCCCAGGCTATAAGTTGCCTTCCTTTGAAAACTGAGTATACTCCCACAAACCACTCTAGAATATTCTACAGAGAGTTTCTGTCAGGAACCTCTAAGCATAGTTTGCAGGCTGAGAAGGACACTTCAAATGTGGTTGGAAATGCGGCGATTTCTTCTCATGTCATGAAGCCATTTGTTAGCCTGGGAGAGCTGTCAGCTAGCGAGAATAGTTTCTCCAGGGTACAGCGTTAAATACCCAAATGTTGGCAGCTATTTGACAGTCTGTGGCTGTAGAACTCAAAGAAGTATGGAAAATGAACATGGTTCTGAGGCATCCAGACATCTGCAAGGTAGACTTATGGTGGGAAAGTCATGCCCCACACCCCCTAGCGTGCAGAATCACCTGCATTTCTTCCTAATAGAGAAGAAGCTAGGACAAAGGTGTCCAGAAGTTGGTATACCTGCCAGTCTGGTCAGGAGATCCCTAGCATGAAAAGAAGCTAGTGGCTGGGTACAGTGGCTCACGCCTGTAATCCCAGCACTTTGGGAGGCTGAGGCAGGTGGATCACTTGAAGTCAGGAGTTTGAGAGCAGCCTGGCCAACATGGTGAAACCCCATCTCTACTAAAAATACCCAAAAATTAGCTGGGCGTGTTGGTGTGTGCCTGTAGTCCCAGATACTTGGGAGGCTGAGGCAGGAGAATCACTTGAACCTGGGGGGCAGAGGTTGCAGTGAGCCAACATCACACCACTGTACTCCAGCCTGGGCGACAGTGAGGCTGTCTCAAAAAGAAAAGTTAGTGATGGGCATCTGCTTCCTCAGTCACTAAGGACTAGAAGTATTTCCCTGAAGCACACATGTCTGAATAATGTTTTAGCATATGTTCTCTGAGAGCATCTCATGACCAACTAAGAGGGCAGAGTAAGAATATAAAGATCCTAGGATAGCTAAATGCCTCGTTCAGTGGTTTTAACATCTCTTTAATTTCAGGCCACTTTGAGAATCTGAAAGATAAGGACCTTCTGGCACATAAATGTACATTTGCAAACAAACATACTCACATCAGGTTTACAGACTGGGGAATTTCTATTTCTTTTCTTTTCTTTTCTTTTTTAACATACATATTGCTTTCCCTGTTCTAACTGCCTGTGAGAGGCCCAGGAGAGCAGGCCTGTGAGTAATTGCTAGTTTTGGGGGAAAGTTGAGACAGTTTACTTATGGGCAATATCATTTCAGGGGCCAGCAGAAGAACATCCTCCTCCATCTGTGCAATGATTCGTATCCTCTCAACAAACAAAAGGCCATAGAATTTTAGCTGGAAGAGCCTTTGCGATGATCATCTTGTCAGTTCCACCTCTCTCCTCAACACCAGCCCCTGCCTGCCCTTTTCCCAAACAGGCCACGAGAGGAAAACATTTGCCCCAAGCTTAGCCAGCTGTGAGCTACAGAGCTAGGTTTGGATGCCAATGCTGTGCTTTTGCAGCTGAGACCAATTTTCTAGCTTGCAGGTGACTCGAGTATTACACATACAGCATCTCAGCCTGTCTCCCAGGTTAGATGACTGCTTCCTGGAAAGCAGTTCTATTCCTTCTCCAAAGCAAGGAACAGAACTGGCTGGTGAGTATTGGGCCCCATGACCCCAGCTGCTTGAGCTTCTTTCTGTCTTGAAGTCATTTGAAAAGAGACAGAGCCACTTCAGAAATGTCCATTGTGACATTCTTTCCCTTTCGGTTTAATTTTAAAACCAAAACTCCTGGCATTTCTTATGTCAGCATTTTACAGGTTCCAGAAGCAAAGGAAAATGGTGTATAACATAATTCTATACCCTGGTTCCCTCTCTGCCAATAGCGCTTAAGGGGGAAAAAATCCCTTAATGCTTAGCATGAGCACACACACAGGAAATTGAATGTCTGTTACAAAGAGTTTTTAACAGGGCAATAAGTGGCCTTATTAGTGACATGCTTTAAACATTTTTGTGCAGGCATCTGCACTGATTGGTTTTCCTTTTCTTCTTCTCTGCAGACATTTGGCGCCGATGACGTGGTCTGTACCAGAATTTATGTCCGAGAGTGAAGGCAGCTGGCTTGCTCCTCCTTTCAGGAAGGGATGCAGGCTCCCCTGAGGAATATATCATAGTTCTGAGCTGCCGGTGGACCGCCCTTTTCTCCTACCAATATTAGGTGACCCCATTTTCCCCATGACAATGTTGTAGTGTCCCCCACCCCCGCCCCCCAGGCCTTGGTGCCTCTTGTATCCCTAATGCTCCATAGTTTGGCATTTGCATGGTTTCGAAGTCATTAAACTGGTTGGATGTGTCTCAACCTTTTCCCCTTTTTGGTTTGCCTCTTCAGTTTCAACATGGGAGTTACTGTGTACCTACTGTCCTTGGCGCTGTGTTGGTCTGTGTGGTACTCTCAGCTTTGGCCTGCTGGCCTCGGTGTGGGGCTTTGAGCATATATCAGTGGTTGTAAGCTGGGCTCCCGCAGACTGGCTGGATCCAGACTGCAGATCCAGGTGTGATTGCACCTCCCAATGTGGCTGTTCAATTGAATTACTTGGTATCAGTAGTTCCCAGCAGGAAAGGGCACATTTAAAAGGGTTAACAGGGAAGAGCTCATAATGAAGAGACTGTTTATACTGGCAGGATGAATAGAGCCAGCAAAGGATGGGGAGGCACCCAAAGACAAGCAGTGGAGGGATTCACCCCCAGGCCTGAAGACAGAAGGGAAAGAGGGGTCACCAGACCATGAGAGCTATCACCTAGGAGAAAGGCCACTGCCAAAACCATGGCCCCAGTGTTTATGGAGTCATGGAGTCCCAAGTCATGGGAGACTTGGCTTGGAGCAAGGGGGATAAATATTCTAATCTCCCACCTTTCAATCTCTATCTCCTATCTTTCAATCTCTATCTATTCTGTCCATTGGCCAAATCCAGTAGGAATGGAGAGGGCAGGGAAGAGGGTGCTGTTCACAAGGGTCACCCTCCCAGGACATGGCCAGGGGGAGAATGGATCTGAACATGCACATAGACAACAACCCACATAGCTGCTGACTTTTAAATTTGAAAATCAGTACATTTCACATAATCTGAATCTCTATTTCCTTAAATGAAAAATTGGGAAAATCTGGCACCTGCAGACCTACCTTCCCACAGGTAACAATTGGCCAAACAGCTTCCCCCTTTTTAAATGGAACTAATATTCTCTGCTTCCCTTTAGACCCCATCCTTGCCCCTGCTTCATTTGCCTTGTCTGCCTGGCTTCTGTCCTTGTCATCCTAAGTGCCGAGACCAGCTCAGTTGGGGAGACCCTAACCCAGTAGTGCTAGAGGAATTAAAGACAAACACACACAGAAATATAGAGGTGTGAAGTGGAAAATCAGGGGTCTCACAGCCTTCAGAGCTGAGAGCCCCAAACAGAGATTTACCCACGTATTTATTAACAGCAAGCCAGTTATTAGCATTGTTTCTATAGATATTAAATTAACTAAAAGTATCCCTTATGGGAAACGAAGGGATGGGCCGAATTAAAGGAATAGGTTGGGCTAGTTAACTGCAGCAGGAGCATGTCCTTAAGGCACAGATCGCTCATGCTATTGTTTGTGGCTTAAGAATGCCTTTAAGCAATTTTCCACCCTGTGCAGGCCAAGTGTTCCTTGCCCTCATTCCTGTAAACCCACAACCTTCCAGCTTGGGTGTTAGGGCCATTATAAACATGTTACAGTGCTGCAGAGATCTTGTTTATGGCCAGTCTTGGGGCCAGTTTATGGCCAGATTTTGTGGGGCCTGTTCCCAGTACTAAGCACATGGGTTCTCAGCAAAGCTGGGTCAGAGTGGGCCATCCAACAGTGTATGGGCATGAGTGAAGCCAGGAGACCCTCAACAAGCTCAAACTCTGGCAGGGGAGACACCCAAGGCCCAGGTGCTATCACCTGAGTGTAAATGGGGACACAGTTTATCTGAGGTTTCACCCCCCACCCCTAGCCCAGAACCCTAGGCTAGAAGGATGAAAGCACACACAGGATGAAAACCTACATGAACCCACATTTGCTTATGGAGGACCTCAACCCTCCACTCAGACTCTACCTACCTACATGTGGAACTCACCGGGGAGAAATCTCTTGTAGAATAGAACACATCTCACATCCTGAGCCTCCTTGTTGGGGCTCCAGCAGTGGAGAGAAATGCAACTGGAGGGCCCACCTGAGTGTGAATGTGCTAATTTAATTTCTATTTCAATTAGAAACTGTGGGGACATGACCGGGCATGGTGGCTCACACCTATAATCCCAGCACTTTGGGAGGCCAAGGTGGGTGGGTCACCTGAGGTCAGGAGTTTGAGACCAGCCTGGCCAACAGAGCGAAATCCCGCCTCTACTGAAAATACAAAAATTAACAGGATGTGGTGGTGGGTGCCTGTAATTCCAGCTACTCAGGAGGCTGAGGCAGGAGAATCTCTTGAACCCAGGAGGCGGAGGTTTCAGTGAGCCAAGATCACACCTTGCACTCCAGCCTGGGAAACGAGAGCGAAACTCCATCTCAAAAAAAAAAAAAAAAAGAGAGAGAGAGGAAGTGTGGAGACTGAGCTGGCCACACAGGGCAAGGCAAGTAGTCATGCCGGATGGATGAAGCTGGGATATCTGGACTCTGTCTGTAGGTATTGGGTACTCATTGCCACTGTGGATGGACTGGGTGAGGCCTCAGACATCTTGGTCTACACCCTTTCCCAGTTCCCACTGCTTCAGTGTCTTCTCCATATCTAGATTTGCTCCATAAAAGCACTGCCCTGCCGTACCATGATGGTTCTGTATAAAAGACCTGGTCCGATTGAAGAGAGGATGAAGGCCTTTCTTTCCCTCACAAGTTTTCTTCAGATCCGCTTTCACAACGGTTGAGGAACAGAGCAGAGTAAAGGAGGCTATCAGCTGTAACTCTCATCCTGCCTGACAGCCAGCAGGCATGGGTGGGGATATTTGGATGACTAGATGAAGTGACAGCAAGTGCCAGTAGTTCACTTAGACTCAGAACACTGGCTGCATCCTGGTTCTCTTGAATCTTGTTCTTTCTGCATTTTCCAGATAAAAGGCACAGTATTTCTCATTCCCTCATGGAACACCACCAATGAGACTGCAGTGTTCCGTGGAACCCAGTTTGAGATTTGCTGCTATAATCATCAGCCCTAAAACATTTGTGTGTATACACATTGCATATGAAATGTAAATATACACACACATAGGATGAAAGCTACACTGTCATCAGGATACTCTCACCAAAACACTGCTGTAAGCTTGTCACTCCCCTGCTCAGCAGTCCCTACAGTCTATAGCAGGGAAGTCAAACCCTTTGGCCTGGCATTCAAAGCCCTCCATGATTTGGCCTCACCAGGTAAAACAGAAAGAACAAGGGCTTTGGTGCCTGTCAGATCTAGTGTCAAATCCTGACCACACTTTTAGTTTGCAAGTGCTAGAAACCCAACCACAATCAGTCCCAGCAAAAAGAAATGTACTCTGCTACAACATGGATGAACCCTAAAAACATTATGTCAAGTGAAAGAAGCCAGCCACAAAGGACTGCCTGTTGTATTATTTGATTTATCTGCAATCTCTAGAATAGGTAAATTCATTGAGACAGAAAGTAGACTGGTGGTTGTCTAAGGCTGGGGGTTTTGAGGAGAAATGGGGAATGACCGGTGCACAGTTTATTTTTAGAGTGATGAAAATGTTCTAAGATCGATGTGGTAACGGTTGCACAACCCTATGAATACACTAAAAGCCATGGAATTGTATACTTTAAATGGGTGAATTATATGCTATGTGAATTATATCTCAGTAAAACTGGCTGGGTGACCCACTCTTGTAATCCCAGCACTTTGGGAGACCAACATAGGATGATTGTTTGAAGCCAGGAGTTTGAGACGGGAAACATAGTGAGACCCCCCAATCTCTACAAAAAAAAATACAAAAATGTGGGCAGTTGTGGTGGCTTACACCTGTAATCCCAGCACTTTGGGAGGCTGAGGTGGGCAGATCACTTGATGTCAGGAGTGTAATAACAGCCTGGCCAACATGGTGAAATCCTGTCTCTATAAAAAATACAAAAATTAGCCAGGCGTGGTGGTGCATGCCTGTAATCCCAGCTACTTGGGAGGCTGAGGCAGGAGAATCATTTGAACCCAGGAGGTGGAGGTTGCAGTGAGCTGAGATGGTGCCACTGCATTCCAGCGTGGGCAACAGAGTAAGACTCTGTCTCAAAAAAACAAAACAAAAAACTTATCCATGTAACCAAAAACTACCTGTTACCCCAAAACTACTGAAATAAAATAATTTTTTAAAAAAATAGGAGCAGAAGGGAGAGGAGGAGGGCAGGTAGCCCCTGTTTGTTTAAGCCGATTATTCAGTGGTTTCTGTACTTGCACCTAAAAGTATTTCTAACTGATACACCAAGGTAACCTAAAGAAGGACAGAGGCTTGTAGATTTGTCTAGCTGGTGGATTTCTAGTCATCTGTCTTGATGATGACGACCATGGAACTAGACAATGTGCCATCTTGCTGAAAAGAAACAATGAAGTTAACATATTTTATGGATGGTAAGACCCCATTCCTAATGTAACATCTCTCTCAATCCCCTCTTCAGTCTCTTCTCATCGCCATAAGAGCCAGAGTTTCATAGCACACCGCAAGGATATTATCAGTGAAAATAATATGGGGCAGCAACTCTACAAATGCAGCCTTCACACTCCAATCCAACCCCACCCACTCCTTTCAGAGGCACCCCCCCCTCTGGGAGCACCCTCCAGGGATCTTCCCTCCTTCCAACACTTTACTGTAACTATCCATTAGTGTCAGAAAGTCCTCAGATCTTGTCAAAAACATCACTTACATGTATATCTGCCCTCCCGAATGTCCAGCAAAGTGTCCTATAAAATAAATGTGGGATGTCACTGGGTGAAAAATTAATCTTCACAAAGTCCCCAAAGGGTCAAATAAATACATCTCAGAGTAGATTTGAAATTACAAACCCTTACATTGGGTGGGCAGTTGTGCTTAAACCAACCCATCAGAACCTCTCCCCTTTTAAGCAACTCCAACTGCTAGGAGATGGAACCCAGAAACAGGAAATAACTTGGCCAAGACCATCATTTTAGGTGTTTGTCAAGATCAAGAGGATGGCCAGTGTGGTGGCTCGTGGCTGTAATCTCAGCGCTTTGCGAGTCTGAGATGGGCAGATCACTTGAGCCTAGGAGTTCGAGACCAGCTTGGGCAACATGGTGAAATCTCATCTCTACCAAAAAAAAAAAAGCATACAAAAATTAGCCAGGTGTGGTGGTGCATGCC